TTTTTTGTTTTTGTTTTTTTGGGCAAGTGACCGGACGTTGGCTTGCCCGACCCCCGAAAGTCGCGGCGTGTTAACGGCCGCGACTTCTAAAAAACATCGGGGAGGTACTGGTGGTTTAAATTTGGAACGATACAGAAAACGAAGATTAATGTGGCCCCCCACAAGGATGACACGCCAGTCTGCCAATATTGTTGGTCTGATACGGGCTTCTATCTTATTGGCACCCTGTTCGTGAAAGATTACCTCATTTCAAACGACCTTAGCGTTACATATTAACCCTATCATCTCTCTTAATTTCTGCAAGTGGGACCTAGCCCGTGTGCATGTACTTGGGACGCTGGTCCCTGTTTCCAGCTGGTGCAGTTCCCCATCAATAGATTGGAGCCACCACCATTAGGGGTCCTACTTGTGAAGGTTGCTCCTATCACCTCCACAAATAAGCCCCTCTCAGATGTTTCCCCCCGCCTCTCTACCGCCCCCCCACCCAAAAAAAGAAAACAACCTACAGATCAAAGCAATGTATCCCCCCAGAGGCAAGACAGCCTTCCCCTGGTCCAATGTCCCTAGAAGTTCAATGTCGCTGTTGTGCCCTAGGGGTCCAATGTCCCTAGGCGTCCCCAGAGGGAAAATAGTCATTTCCACTTGGGGTCCAACGTCGCTGTTGTACATACACAAGTACTCTTTCTTTTGTTGTTTCTGTCCTCAGAAAATTGATACTCGAAAACATTTCGGAGTTCCAATCCCATCTTCCCACTGCCCCCCCTTGGAAAAAAAACACCTTGTGAGCACAAAATACACACGTGTCCAGCTGCACTTAGTGCCTCTAGCTTCAATAGTAGGGTACCTAGGAAGAACTTGGAAACGACAGTATGCGATATAATGTTGGTGTTCCCTTTGTTTTTCTGAGTTTTTTTTGTAGTCCGATGGACCACGGATCATTTTTTTTTTTTTTTCAAGTCCGGGGTGTTGTAGAGACCAGTTACTAGGTTCACATTGATCGTCGGAAGTGGTCAGCCATGGTTGCCCTGAAGAGACGAGGCTACCTCCCATCCTATCCTCGCGTCAATTATCCTAGCACACCCCTTATTTCCACCATCCTACCTCAGTGTGACCAGCACTCAGGACCATTACCCTACCATCGAGGGGAAATCGGACCGAACAGTAATGATAGGCACAAGGGCTAGTGACGCAGCCCTGATGGAAGCGTAGTCAAACGAGCCTCGTCGAACAAGCACTTCAGACGCCAGGCTCAAGCAATCACCTATTAGCCCCTAAGTAGACCGACTAGTAACTCATGCCCTCTCTTATCATCGAGACGCCTACCATCATTATTAGTTGCTCGTGACCTCCTCCCAGCCCTATGGTTATGTATGTGTGTGCATTTTGTTTTGCAGGCATGTGCCCGTAGGCTATGTGTATGTTTGTATGTGTGTGGACCCGTAGCAGACGCTGCTCCCCACCATGGAGCATCTGCGAAGCGAGTACCGGTGAGAAGTGCTCTTATCACCTCCACCAGTACCTGTGTGAAGTGTGTAGGTAGTATGTATATATGGGCCCCTAAAAGCACCTTGCCCCGACGCAGCTATGTGCCCTCCTCCAAACACCCGTCATCAGCTGGGGCTCCTCCCCCCCCAAAGGACCCATGCCTACTTGATCTATCCTCAGTCATAGACTGTCTCCCACCTATCAGCAGATTCCGGTCATCGGCTAGGTACTTCCTATAGGATCGGAAGGGACAGACTATGGTGGGCCATCATCCGTCCTTCCACTAGCCCCCAACCTTGTCCCTCCAATGTGCCTTAATCTATGTGTGTGTGGTCTGTGATAGACTGAGTATCATGGTTGTGCCTGTAGTTAGTATCTGGGGTAGTGTCTCATGTGTGTGTGTGTAATATGTGGTAGAGACAGGCCTATCTGGACAGGAACCCCCCAAAGTCAGTTGAACATGAACCTGTGACCTACAGTATGAGACTGGAGGGTTCTACCACATGCACTACCGGCAGGAAGTGGACATAATGTATGAAATATCTAGGCTGGGGGAGATCATCAGAGCGACCAAAGCCAACAACAGCAAGCAACCAACGTGAAGTCTAGACCAGCATACAACACCCATGGCCTGATCCCATGGGTGGTGCGCAGGCAGTGTCCGTAATAGTACCATGCGTCAACCCAGAGGAATGTGTGTCCAGCCGTGCGTCATTCTACCGCCCTGCCGTTGTCCATGCCTGTGTCCATGCTCAAGGCTGCGGAGTTTGGAACCCGCAACCTCATAGTACCACAATGCGCATTTCCAACCGGTGCTCTAAGTTACCACTGAGCTACATCAACTGGACCACGGATCAGATATTAAACTGATAGGAACAGAAACTACACTTGATATTAGCCAAAAGACCGCGATAGGTATTCTTCCCTTTGTTTAGCTCTGGTCCAATCATACTTCCAAAGGTCCGTGTCCTTCCATTAAAATTGGAACTATTTACAGAGAGAGAAGCCCCTGCACATTCAAGGATGACACGCATAAATCGAGAAGTGGTAAAAAAACAAAGGGTCCATCTTATATCTCTTCCTAGGGCAGGTAATGCCTATCCCGATGCCATCTGCTCATGGCACATAGCTAACAAATAAATAATTATATATATATCGTCAAATAGAACTGCCCGGTAAACCGTAGGCAGAGAGGGAGAAGAGGACAACAAACGAGGGGCTGTGACAAACTGTTTCGTCGGAGTTTCACCGACTCATATATATATATATATATATATATATCGTATATATATATATATATATATCGTCATATATATATATATCGTCACAAGCATATATAGTGAGAGAGAGAGAGAGAGAGTTGTCCAGCTCATCGTGATAAACTCCCACCTTAATCAAAGGAAACAGAATGATCTACAGTCAAGACATGACCGTGCATGCAACCCTGTTCACGTGTCGGTATCTGCTTGGCCCTGCCTTCTTTCTGCCTCCTCCTCCGCCATAGCCACCGATCTCAGAAGAAAGTACCAGTCCTCACCACCCTCCGTTTTTTTCTCGAAAGATCATGTAATCATAAGACATAGGGCCTCGCTCCACTACTCTCGAAATATGCAAGAGAGGAGTGAATCTTCCGCTAGAATAGGGAAAGATACACGGTGATGATTTTTGTCTTTGTGCATGTCGAGAGTAGTGGAGTGAGGCCCATAGACAGCCCATCTCCTCGGACTCTGCGAGCAGGCGACGTCACCTATTTTCACTACTTTCCTTTTTTTTCTTTTTTTTTTTAAAGCTATATTCTTCTCTTAATTTTACCTCACACTACCTACCTACCACTACTCCTACTTGTAGGCATACGGGGAACCCCGTAGCAGCCAGAACCGTGTTCACGAGAGAACATGCAGGGGCTGCTCCCGACCTGCAGGCGACGTCACCTATTTTCACTACTGTATCTGTTGGTATGAATACCGCCGCCAGTGGGGTAATAATGGCATACTCACACTTGCACTTGTCAAAATGCAGCTGACTGCTCATTTCTGCGATTTTGAGGGGCTACCGTCTTTCTCCCGAACACAACGCACCCATTATAGGCTGTACCAGGCCTGAAACGTAGCTTGTATACATTCATTTTGACGGTGCGTCATGTTCGGGGGGGGTGGAGGAAGAAGAAGCCGTAGTGTCAATATGCACTCAATCTCCTTTTTTTTTTTAACAGGGGCTCCATTCCATTTGTGGGGAGCAGCACATGCTGGGAACCGGGCCCAGCGTCCCTTATACACCAAATAAGGTTTGGGGCCGTGGTCCCCACAGTCTGCCCGGAAAACACGAAACAGTACCAAGTACCGGGAGCTTTACCCGGGGCTTCGCTTCTGAATCAGGGCCAGATCCCACTAGCCCCTATTGTTCATTTCTGACCGTTGATCTTCGTAATCGAGGGTGAAAAAATGAATAATCCAGGGTAGTGGGATCTGCCCCTCAATCTCCTTTTCCAAACTGCAGGGAGGGTAACACTTTTTTTTTTTTTTTTTTTTTTTTTTTTTTTTTTTTCAACGTTCTGTCTTTGCCCCCGAATAGAACGCCCTGTCATTATCGATTTATAAGTGTCCTCCTTCCGCAGGGGGCATGCTATTCTCTGTATTGTTCCAATTTTAACGGATGTCCCGAAGGACCGCCCTGTCATTATCTAGCTGCAATCGTGACAACTTGCAATCTACGTATAGAGCGATAATAACCGTTCGTTCTATTCCGGGCAAGACGGCAGCAGCACGGTATAGACACTTTAACTTCGGCCTTAGGAGGGAACACTTCCCCATTTCCCCCCCCTTTAAAGCCCTCCTCGGTGATTTTTTTTTTTTTTTTTTTTTTTTCGTCAATGGATCATTTTTCATTTTATGCGTGTCCGGTAAAATTGGAACGATACAGAGAGCATTAGCACGGCCCCCCTGCGCAAGGATGACGTGCATAAACTCGTCATTGTAACGTTTTTTTTTTTTTTTTTTTTTTTTTTCAGCCCAGCGACTCGCTGTAGTTTTCCCTTGGATTCTCGTGACCCCCAAGGGTTGCATGTGCACATTTTATTTATCTCAGTTTTTTTTTTCATCAAATCGCAATTGCGGATGACGGGAATCGAACCCATATCCCCTGCTTGGAAGGCAGACAATTTACCTTTAATATATATCCGCTATTGACATATTGAATTGATTGACTCAGGCTATCAAATGACTGGATATAATTCAGTTTTTTTTTTTTCATATGCACGTGTAACCGTCAATAAACAGATCATGAGTTCGAATCTCGGGGACAGCGACCCATGCAGACGACAATTTAACTTTCCCTGGGTAACGCGCTTCTAAACAAAGCTATAAAATGATGGTCTGAAGAGTTTAAAAAGTGCGAAATAAATGACGTGAAGTGTCTGTTTCTTTTTTTTTTTTTTTTTTTTTTGCGTTTTTTGAAAAACAAGTTATATCGACTCTTATATTGCAATAAATCTCTCTTTTTTTTTTTTCCAAAAGTACCCGTCGTTGCTACATTTGTTAACAGGAGAAGCTCATCACCGACCAACCATCCACGGGATCTCCGACTCTTTCCGATCATCCGACCTCTATCTTCGTCAAGAAAAAACCTTCGTTCCCGTCCTCTCTCTCTCTCTCTCTCTCTCTCTCTCTCTCACTCTCTCTCTCTCTCTCTCTCTCTCTCTCTCTCTCTCTCTCTCTCTCTCTCNCTCTCTCTCTCTCTCTCTCTCTCTCTCTCTCTCTCTCTCTCTCTCTCTCTCTCCCCTTGCGTGTGAGTGTCAGACACGCAAACATGACACAGCCGCAACTGCGCATCCAGCATTCGTCATGGTACCCATGGGATGGCGTGTATATGTGTGTGTATATATATAGATATATATATCTATATATAGATATATATAGATATATAGAAATATATATTGTTGTCGTCACAACATCACACGGACTCTCACTCTATGTCGACCCCTTCCCTCTTCAATGCATTCAGCACGGCCTCTCTCTCCTCTTTCGCCTCTTCCCTCGACGCCGCCCTGCCTTTGATTGCGCAGTCTCCCACTCCCCATTCCGCGCCACGTGCGCAATACTTGTTCTCTATCTCCCTTCGATGCTTCTCCCGGTTCTCCTCCGTCCTCTTCAAGAGCTCTTTGACCAGCGAAGACGACTTGACTTGCTCATCAAGGTCTTCCTGTTCCCGCCTATTTCTTTCCTGAACTTTTCTGACCGAATCAACGGCATCAGATAGCACGTCAATGGAGGGAGGATCCACGGACTGCAGCCCCGCCGAGCCCGACAAGATACCCGCCTCAGCGGTGTAGCCGGAGCCCGCCACGTGGCTCGCCGTCGAGCCCAGACAGAGGCCGGCGAGAACCAGCATCATCTCGCGCCTAGATTTGTCGTCAATCCCGCCGAGCTCCGTCGAGGCACTGGCACGTGTTCCTTGTTCTCTTCTCCCCTTGCCCCATTCTCCCCCTCCCCCCACTCCTCCCCCGACTCCTCCTGCAGGACTCCTCTCATCCTCATCGGGCACCTGCGGAGAAATCACCCGGCATGCGCGAGCGCGCCTTCCACTTCTCTCATTGGCCAACGTCAACCTCAGCGTCCTGCCCTCCTCCCCCTGCCCGCTCCAATCCGACCACCCCCTCACTCTCGCGGTCGCCTGCGCCAGCCCGCCGACGCTCGAGCGCAAGTCATCAGGCGCGCAGTCGCGCCCGGAGCCGCCGGGTCCTGCCGCAGCAGATGCCGCTGAAGTCGGAGTCGCGATCGGGATCGGCGCCCGAACATGCGCCGCCGCTGTGCACGGAAGATGCACGCGCTGCATGATTGATGAGAGATCGGCTCACAGGCGCCAAGATCCCAGATCACCTGCTCGTTTCGACTTGCACGTTGACAAACGTACTCCCGCCGGTTTTCCGCCTCCTCCCGCCTCACCTCTCCTCTTCCGTTCACGTCGCCTGTGCTCGCGTGGCGCTTGTGAGACGCTGGTCAGCCCTTCAGACGGCGGTGCACAGTGTGACTGGCACTCGGCCTTGTCTTGCCCATTGAGACAGACGACCGCTGGTAGCAGCCCGCCACCCAGACTACCATTCCCCGCTCCACATCATCCGCCCAACGACTCCGTCATCCACGTGCGCAATGTAGCCACGTGGCAGCTCGCAAGCGATGTCTAAACATGGGAAGGTATTGCAACGGTAAAACTCCTGCCCCCAGTACGACGAGTATGTAGGACCACTACCAGCAGTGGGTCCCCTGGACCGACCGGTCGACCAGTAGAGCTCCTGCCCCCGCTACGAGTATGTACGACCGCTAACGGCAGTGGGCCGGCTGGGCCGACCGGTCGGCACTCGAAGAAAAAAAGTGATATCCGCTCGACGCCGAGTCGGCACCGTCACCTGCGGTTCACAAGCACACACATCAGGCCTGGCTCTACGAGATAATTGGTGGAAAGCAGCGCCCACGCGGAAACCTTTTTGGTTTTTCGCGCGCCCAAACTTTTCCCGTTTGGCAAGCAAGGCCCACGCAAGGCCCACGGGGTGCACAGACCGTAGGATGTTAAAATCTGAAGCCCGAGATTGGGTCAGGACCGTTTGACCCCTTCCTACTGGATCATGAACTGGCGCTCTGTTCATTTTATTTACATTTTCCCGTAGGCCGTTCTTGCCAAATGGGAAAAGTTTGGGCGCGCCAAACCAAAAAGGTTTCGGCTGGTCTCGGCCCACATGCCGCCGTGTAGTATAGTTTTCTGCTACCTGTGTGACTGTGGGATCACTGCGAACCCTTGATCATCTCACAAACGGACGGTAAGATTACACAACCCGCCCTTTTGGAAGGGGAGCCAGCAGCCTACTGTTATGTGATTGGTTGGGGTGTCATGTTGGCTTCACGTTGGGGATGGCAGGAGAGGCACGGGCGTTATAGTTTCCTACGAGTTTTTTTCAGATAGTAAACTACACGGGGATTTTCCTCTTCACTGAATGCAGGGGGATTGTCAGAGACATGTCTAGGGCCCCAAGGATCTAGTCTGTCCAATAGGAGGAATAGGAAGATCTGAGTTCGATTCCTAATGAACTGTTGAAAGGAAGACTTGAGTTCGATTCCTAATGGCACTAGATGAATGAAATCAAATAAGAAGATCATTCAACCTTCTTTTCCCGCCTTTTGGCGTCCCACAGTTGTAGAAAACTAAACTACACCGCGCATGTGGGCCAAGACCACGGGTGGGCGCTGCTTTCCACCAGTTATCCCAAAAGTTTGGGCGCGCCAAACCAAAAAGGTTTCCGCGTGGGCTCTTTCCACCAATTATCCCCTGGCTCTACTGTGTTTCCCTCGCCCAAAGCTCAAGGACGAGGCTTTCCTGCATAAAACTTCCAAAAATATCCCCAGAATGGCTGTTTATCTGTGCAGGGTTGTGAGTACATCGGTGAGATGCTTCCTACATCTGTGGGCTTCTGACTTTGAGGCTGATGACTGCGTTTGCAGGTCGCCTTGTCACCTTGCTGCTCACAGTATTGGACGCCCTCCCACCCTTTCTTTCTCTCCCCCTCCTTCTCCCCCTCCCTCTTCTTCTCTGCTCCTTTTTTCCAGGGGGGGCGGGAGGAGGGGGAGGGAAATGTAGCTTTATCATATATGCTGGAAACTGGGTCCAGCGTCAGAGAATGGCATTTATAACTCCCCTAACAGTGKWAGTTTTTTTTTTTTTTTTTTTTTTTTTTTTTTGGATCAGATATTAAACTGATCAGACGCTTTCACCCTTTTCCAATCACTGAACTGTGCCGCCTCCCACCACTCACATGTTGGGGCTTCATGTTGGCTCCTCTGCCCCTGTTGAAAAATGCTTTCACCCTTTTCCAATCACTGAACTGTGCCGCCTCCCACCACTCTGCTTTGCTGCTGTTGGACACCTTGCCCAGCTGCATGCCTTTTCGTTTCGCCAGTCTCTCTCCTTGCCCATGCCCTCCGGCCCGTGCGTAATAGTACTGCTTACCCTGTGGCGCCTTGCTGCCTGCCTTTATTGAACGATCCCTGGAGGCCAAAGGCCCTAGAGCTGTAAATCATGGAACTCTGTACTTCCCGTGCCTGCTCACATATCCCTCTGCCTTGCTTCCTGCCTCAGCACCTTGCCGCTGATCGTGCTGCCCGTTTGCCTTGCGTGTGCTTGTCCTATTGCTTTGCTGTCTGCCTCCTTGTTTGACTGCCAGCGCATCCCGTGCTTTCCTGCCGCGTGCCTCGCTGCAGCTTGCCATGTGGCTTTGCTGCCTCGCCCTTCGCCTCTTCCTCTACGTTTCTGCCCTGCTTAGTTGTCTTGCCACTCATTCTGTTGCCCACCCTCCCGCCTGTCCTATTGCCTTCTGTTTGCCTCCTTGTTTGACTGCCAGCGAGTCCAGTGCTTTCCTGCAGTGTGCCTCACTGCAGCTTGCCGTGTGGCTTTGCTGCCTCGCCCTTCACCTCTTCCTCTACGTTTCTACCCTGCTTAGTTGTCTTGCCACTCATTCTGTTGCCCACCCTCCTGCCTGCATGCCGCCTTGTTTTGCTAGTTACCTCACTGTTTGATTGCCTGCCTGCCCTGTGCTTTCCTGTTGCCTTGCTGCTCGTTACCCTATGCGCCCTCACAACTGCCCGCCTTGCTGTTGCTTGTCATGTTGCCTCACTGTTCTAACTACCATCCCGCCCTGTACTTCCTGCCTTGCATGCCTTGCTACTGCTTGTCCTGTGCCTTGCTTTCCCACCTTTACCCATTTACCCACCCCTGCGCCTTTGCTGCATGCCTTATTGCCTTGCTGCTGCTCGCCTTGTGACTTTTTGACTGCTTACCTTGTTTGCTGTCCCCCCTCCCTGTGCATTGCTGCCTGCCTTGTTGTGTTGCTGCTCATTGTGCCGTTCAGTTCACCCTTCGGCCTCCCTGCCTCGATGCTCCATGTCATGCTGCTTTGTTGTGTGCTTCGACATTCACCAACCCGCGAGCCCGACACTTCCCTGCCTGCATGCCTTGCTGCTCCTTGCCATGCCGTGCACCTGCCCGTTTGCCTGTCCGCCTCAAAGCCTTCCTGCTAGCCTCACTGTTTGGCCGCTTGCTCATTCACTGGCAACAGCGTTCAAGCTGCTCTGCATACTGCCTGCGGTTCAGCCTCATGCTGAGTCAGTGAGAGTCTAATGAAATAGGCTGTCATGATCCTAGTCCTTTCTTTCGTACTGTAAGCTCTGTTTTCTGAGTGGCTCATTACGATGCTATTCTAGACCTTGCTTTAAACCGCCAGTACACGGTCCCAGCCTTGCAAGACTTCTTCATGGCTCCCTCCTAAAACATCGGAGGCTCGGGGCTACCGGACCACAATGGCTGGCAGCGCCAGGAAAAAGAAAGAAGTGTGCTACTGGCAGTTCAGCAAAGATTGGCTCGTAGTGCAGCACCGCCAGGTCTGGGTGTGCTGGTGGTTCAATGCACGGACTGTGGACATGTTTTCAATCCTCTTGTGTAATGCCGCTCAACCAGTCACAGCATGCTGCACTATGAGTAAGTAACATCCCATTGTCTCTCCTTCCCCCAACACACACACAATCTTTTTTTTTTTTTTGGAAGGGCGGGTAGGGGGGTCGGGGGGCCTTGGGGGGGGGGGGGGGGGGGCGATGCTCCAATCTACTTGTAAGGAGCAACACGTGCTGGGAACCAGGCCCAGCGTCCCTTATAAAAGCACATCAAACTGAGATACCGGGGCCATTACCCGGCTTCGGCTGAGAACTATGTAACCAATCAAGAAAATGTCAGAAGCTTCGTGATCAACTACTATCCTACCAGAACAAGCTTAACTCCAAAAACTTAGGTATCATGAGAACTCCCCCCCAACATAGATGAATATCCCCCCGCCCCCCCCTAAAACCACCACCAACGCGGTGTGTTCAGCTTCAGCCCCCGATTGACCTCAGCACTGCCCCCGCACACAGTCCCTCAGATCTCTCTACCAGGCCTCACGCCCCCAATCAGCTAGGTTACAGAAATGTGCCACCTCGCTTCGGCCCTGGCCAACGTCGCTCTGGCACCGGTTCTTAAGAGCCACTGAGTTTCGACTGCCCTTGGCGGGGTCATCCCCTATTGTTGAATACGCATCAGGAGGCTATCTAACGCTTTTCAACAATCCCCCTCCCTCCCCATACCCCATTCCCCTCAGCCCTGCCCCGCCTCTGCCGAGAAGTGTCTCCTACTCTTCATTAGCCCCAGTATAGGGCAAGCCCCTTTAACCCCATTTCCCCAGGGACATACAGTTCCCTCCTAAAGCATGCCCCCACCACCACTTGCCCTTAACTGCCTCCACTGCGGTTAATACTGACCCGGCATACCAACCCCAGCCCCAGAATAGAGCAAACCCCAACCTCCGCCCCTACCCTCTCCGGGACATTCACCCCCCTCCTTGTGAAGCCCCTGCAGGATAGTGCTCCCCACTCCCACACAATCATTGTTTTTTTCTCTGTTTCCTTTTCTTTTCTTCTTTCTGTCTCAGTCTGTGCATTCTCTGATCTTTCCCTGTGCTCTCCCGGTGTCTGAGTGAGCACCTCTAAGCCCTGCTAACACGTGAATGCCTGCTTGTTTGGGGTTCCTGCAACACTATTAGGGGGGCGTAGGGTTCATGATGTCTGTGCATGCGTGTGTTCCTTGGGGTGATTACAGGCGTTAGTTGATGCACGTGTGAACCTACAGTCGGTGTGCTGTTGGTGGTGGTGTGAAGGGTAGGTGATGGACTGCTTTGGCCCATGTTGGATGTGTGGTCTGCCTGGCTGTGGTGCTCCACTCCCATGCTGCTTGGCTGCTTGTTGCCTCAGTGGCTTGCCGCCTTGTTCCTTGCTGCTCGTAGTGACGCCCTGCAACTTGTTTTGTTCTGTGGATGTCTTATGCTTCGTTGCCATATGGCTTCGCTCCCGGGTTGCCTCAATGGCTTCTTGCCTTGCTTCCTTCTTGCCGCACTGTTTAGCTGCTTTGGTGCCTGCTGCTCATAGTGCTGCCCTTCTGCTTGCTTTGTCAGTTGGCTCCATCGTGTTGCTGCCTTGTCGCCTTGTTGCGCAGTTGCGTTGCTACCGTGTTGCCTCAGCGCCTTGTGACTTGCTGCCTTGTTGCGTCACTGCCTTCTTGCCTTACTGCCTCCTTACCGGCTGCACTGCTGCTTGTCTTGTTGATTGGCTGCCTTGTTGATGCTGCTTCTTGCCTCACTGCCTTGTCGCCTTGTTCCCTGCTGCTCATAGTGCCAGCGTGCCGCTTCCCTTGTCGTTTGGTTGCCCACCTGCCCTGCTCCCCCCTGCCTTCCAGCCTATGTGCCTTTCTGTTGCTTGTCGCCCCGTGCCTTGTTCTATTGCTTCTCGCCTTCCTCCTTGCGATGTAACCTGCTAGCAGTCCACTAACAACAGAGGTTAAGGGAGATCATGACCCTTTTTCCTTTTTAAAAGGGCGACGGCCTTGAGATATCATCATTGGACTGACCGGATCCGGGCAATTCAGAATGGTTTCATTCTGTTCATCTCACAGCATCTGGATTCGAACTTGGGCCCGTATTTCAACAGTTCATGGGTGTACCAACTGAGCTAGACTCAAAACATCAATATGGAGATTCCTCAGACTGTCGAGGATTCAGCCTCCTGATGAATTGCCTGTCACCATCTTTGTGTCAAAAATTCTTCTTTTTTTTTTGGTTGAAACAAGCCCTTCTGGACTGTGCTCCTGTTCTGGGGAGCATCAGTCTGGTTCCTTATCCACCGCCGGACCACCTGCAAGTCACGACGGCAATACCCACTCAAATGTCTCCCCATGTTATGGCCCGGAGAGCCCTGACAGCACTGATTGCTTCCAAGTGGGAAGGATTGACTGTCCCTGTTGCCCACTCGTTTTCCAGTCCGCTTCCCCTATAGCTACATCCTTTGAAAGAAACAGGCACAAAAATAGACCAGCATTACCCTCACGGCCTACCCTTTGTGTTTTCTTTCCGTTCTGTTTGCTTTGTTCGGTCTTCAACTCATTTTTTGCTTGTCCTTCATCCTTCTGCGCTTTGATACCTTTGCATGTTTGCCCTCCTTCCATTGGAATACCTGGCTGCAACCTCTTTTGGAAGTGTTCTCTAGGCACTCTGTGGACACAACTTGCCGCAAATCCTATCGCAGAGGTCAAATTGCACCCCCCCACCCCACACACACACGTGCACACTCACACACACAGGCAGAGCGAACATGAGAACACACACACACACACTCTACTCTCTTGCAGAGAAATTTGATGGAAGGCCAGGGCAACAAAACTGAGCATGAAGGACAAGACACAAAGTGTTTCTACGATGGCACACACACACACACACACACACACACACACACACACACACACACACACACACTGTGGCATACTGCGCAGCCACACGGGCCTGCAGGGCCCGACCAGCGTTCTCAGCCTAAAAGCCTGAAAACAAGGGCCTACAGGCCCTGTGTCGTTTCAGCCTAAGAGCCTGAAAACAAAGGCCTACAGGCCCTGTGTCGTTTCAGCCTAAAAAGGGCCCTCCAGGCCCTGAGTCTTTTCAGCCTGAAACGGAGGGCCATTTTCAGGCCCTCATAAGATCGACCGGCCCTGAAACTTAGGCACCAGACCAGGGTTTTAGCACAGGCCATTTTGGGCCTGTTTTCAAGACAACCCTCGTTTGAACTTCAACGCCAGGTCTGGCACGTTTTAACATTGGCAAGGGCAGCCTCCTGGACGGGCCAGCACTATATAAGACTGGCCCGCCCTGCAGGCTGTAGGCAGGACAAGGTAGTTCATAGGGACTTCCCAGGAACTTCGCATGCAGAAGGCACGAGGTAGTCTTCAGGATTCGGCAGCAGCACTCTGGAGGAGTGCTGCAGGAGTAGTAGTAGCGTTAGCAGTAGTCTTCAGCGCTGGGCGCTAGTAGGAGCTAGAGTAGCATTGGAGAGAGAGAGAGATGGTTGACGGAGGCCAGGGAGACTTACCTGTGGCGCCATAGCTCCAGCTTCGTCTTCGATGTACCTCCAACAAGGCGCCACCTTCATAGGTTAGTACCGGACTGAGAGAGAGAGAGAGTTCTTCTTCTTCCTCCTCTAAGTCCACCATCTCTTCCTGACCCTCTCGCTACCTGACTTCTCAGTATCTGCAGACTACGAGAGAGAGAGAGAGAGATTGGTGACTTTGGGACTTTACGACATTTGGATCCAGACTCGACATTGGGATTCAAACATTTGACGAGGGATTATTTGGGACCTGTACCGAAGACTTGGTGTTGACGACATTCCCATCTTCCCCTCTTCTTTGTCTAACCCCCCTCCTCTTCGTCCGTGTATGGTTGGGGACTGGCGCATTCTTCCTGTGTGAGCGCCAGGCCCCTTCACAACATGGAATGATGATGATGTATGTCTGGTCTGCATTGCAACATTGATTGTTCGGATCATGGGTATTTAAGCCTTCCGCTGTGCTATCTTGTACTAAGTGAGAGAGGTCGGTTCTTGTTCTGGTCTGTACCGTTACGGTATGCGACACACACACACAGACGCACACACACGCACACACACACACACACACACACACACACACACACACACACACACACACACTTTATTTATTTATTTACTTATTCATTTATTTATTTATTTATTTATTTATTTATTTATTTGCTGACTGGTTGTCTGTTCTATTTTAGTCTTCTTCAGGACGTCGTTTCGGACTTAAAATGTCCGAACAGACTGGTGGTCTGTGCAGACCTAGGCCACGTTTTGGGCCTCTTTCAGGCAGGTTCGCAACTGAGCCCTTTCGGGCCAGGTTCAGTTCCGTCCGGTATTGGGCATTCCCTGCTGCATCAGCATGCTGGACGTCCGATAGGGACCCAGGCAGGCCGTTTTAGGCCAGGAACAGAGGAGCAGAACTTTTTCCTGCAACCTGGACCGTGGATCGGACTCACGATCTTGTGGCCGAGATTGCAGGCCACGGGCACACCAGCCATGCCCAGCGCTATAGATAGCTGGGCCAGTCCAGTTCTGGGTACAGTTCGAGTGGCTCACTTCTTGAGCGACACGCTGCTGGAGCAGCGCGCGATGCAGCCCTGCACGAGGACTAGAGGTAGAGGTGTAGGTAGAGGTAGAGGTGTAGGTAGAGGTAGAGGGAGGTTGAGGTGGTGGCCATACCTCCAGCAACGGAGGCCCTACCTGGGCGCCATAGCTGGTCTTCACACAAGCAACCCACAGCCAGAGGGACACGCCAGCTTGTCAGTACTCGGCGGCAGATACCTGCGGGTGAGACAGCAGGAGGACGACATCTTCTTCTTCTCCGTATTCTTGCCCTCCATATCTTCTTCTTCTTCCTCTCCCTCTTCTTCTCCTCCGTCCATTCGGCAGGGAGACTATTTGTGGACTACACTGTTGCGACTTTGATCTTCTCCCTCCTCGCACATCTTCGTCCTGCTCTCCTTCCTCCCCTCCATCCGTGGATTCCTCCCCATGTGTGTGATCAAGGAGGGACCTTTCTTCTACGTATGAGGTCCCTCCCCTTCTCTCTCACATGTGTGATGTCAGATGGGGGTCGTGTCACTGTCAGTCAGGTCAGGTCATATCTTTGAGTCGTCCACTGCGCTATATTGTGCTATATTGGAAGTAGTATGGGTATGCGACCAGAAAAGTCACCTGGTTTTGTTAAAATTGAAATTTCTGTGAAATTTGGATGATTTTGTTGTTGAAGTATGTTTTCAATTCTTTTCCCACTCTCCTGAAGGTTGAAGTTCTTAGTTAATAAATAAATATGTGAATGCCAGCAGCAATAGCGCGAGCCCAGTCACACCGCTTCCTGTATCACAAGTTGTTGGTGTCAACAGCTCCAACTTTCCTTGTTACGGACTTCTCCCTGCAGATGATGGGAATGAGACAAGATAAGGCACAGGGTTATCGTGGAAAGTTCGGTGATCTGGTAGTCAATCGTGCCCGTTGATCAGGTCCTTTCTCTTCAAAACACTGCCGTCGATGACGATAGCAAGGCTAGCAACGTCGTCAACCGAACCTGATGAGGTATCGAGTCGCTCCGCTTTCATTGTGAATAGCAATTGGCATTAGTTCAATTTGGTTGTTTACCGACTGAACTGTCAAAATGTCCGGAAAATTGCGGGTCGACTATGACTCGGCGAGTCGGCGTCTGTGTCAATAGACGGCATGCTTAGCTTACCTTCAGACCCTGTGAGCTATTCTTCAGATTCAGTTTGCTAGTTTCCTGCACTTTATTTACTTTCTTGGTCCGTGATTGAAGTTTTTTCTACTTTTTCAACCTTGTTCTTAGTTTTTCATTATATCTTGAAGGATGTAAGCCTGCAGGTAATATGTCGTGGTCACGAATGACACCATATGGAATGTCTATGCATGCACAAAAGAATTGGAGTGGGGACCGGAGATTGCGGGGAGTAAAATTCAGCAGTCGGCTCGGCGATTGCATGAGCGAGTAGGTCAGTGAGGTGCCCGCGATTTTGTGATGTATGAGTCAGCGGACACCTTCTGGGCAGATCTGTCTGACAGCAGTCTTAGTCTCTGGAGATGAAGGCCACTGTCGCTCTGGCCTTTCCCGAAACTTCTGAATGTTTGGCTCTTCGTCCTTTTGATTTTTTCAGTATGTGATGCATTTTGAGGGCCTGTGAGGCTGTGCGGCATACCCTGGGTATTGCCATCGTAGAAACATTTTGCGTCATATGTTTCATGTGCCGTCAAATTCTCTGCAGGAGTGAAAAGTGGGAAGGGGAGTGTGTGTGTGTGTGTGTGTGTGTGTGTGTGTGTGTGTGTGTGTGTGTGTGTGTGTGTG